AAAAGGCGCTTGAAGCATGCGAAGAATTCCGATAAATTCGCTCGTACGGATTGAAAAAATTGTATGCGGCAACTGATTCCTGCGTTACTTGGAGAAGTGTTCCTGCGCTGCCTTATGAAGCAGCCCGTGCATGCAAGCGCTGATCACAATTAGTAGCGTGTAATTCATTCTAAGTTACGTGTTATCTTTGTTCTCGAATAACGACTGCGCCTATCTACCCCGTGTTGGCACAACGGAAATGAACGTAGACATTGTAGTTGTGTAATACCGACGATATCGCAACGTCTTCAGCTTTCTTTGTCGTGAAACGGCAGTGTCTCACTGTCCTTGGGTCCTCAGTTTTTTTTTTTTTTTAGAAACTTTTTCTCCCGTGTAGAATGCAAGTTCCTTGATTAAGTTAGCTTCGATGGTGGCAGTCTGTAGCCCGATACAACTTTATTTGACGTGCGTGGGCAGGCTCCCGTTGTGAAAACGCTGCGCTGCACTTTCAGCCGAAGGCTCCGTCGTTAAGAAAGCGTGTAGGCGTACGCCGAAGCCAACCGTTCTTCGGTCTTAGCTAACAAATATAGCCTATACAGTGAACAACTCGCCGAACATCCTGCGTGGAAACTAAGATTCAGGCTCATCATTTTATTGAAAGGGCAGTTGCAACACCCTTCATAGAGCAGTGTGTTATATGAATGACCGACCGTGAATAGGGATTTCCCAACTGAGTGGTTATGGCTTCCTATCGATGGCTCTTGGTGCCTGACGCTGTCTCTAAAATATACGATCGTTCTTCTACCTGCCTGCTTTCATGCTTATGCGAAAGTGTCCTAGCATCAACCCAGGCCTGTACCGGTTAAAGTCAGCTCGTTTATGAGTAGCACCAGCTATGAGCATGCGCTTTCATATGGGCGTTCTCCTGTTATTCAAGAGTCCTAATTTTCAACGGCGGAAAAAACTAAAAACAAATTGTTATAGCGATAACGTGGTAAACATTCTCTGAAAAGGTCAATATCTTAAGCATTTTTTTGTTTAATACAAGTTTAAATAAGCCATCAAATTTGGAACACGCAAAACGTAGCCCAAAACTGACATAGCTGTGTGCAGAGAAGTATCTCATTTGTATGCTAATTTCATTAATTACATGCATATGGAAGAATATGCAGTGTGTTTGTTCGCTAGGTACATTAAATGTTTATTTGAAATATATATATATATATATATATATATATATATATATATATATATATATATATATATACATTATGTAAACAGGGGAACTGTGTGATAGCGCCGACACTTCAAGAAGTAGACTTCTCTTCTTCAAGGCTATGCCTAAATTTATAGTCTTGAGGAATAGCAGTCCACTTGTCGAAACGCCGGCTGATCACACAAGCCTGTTTTCGGGATTTTTCCTCGCATGCTTCCATGTTCTCCTTCCTGTCGCTTTTAGGTGTCTATTTTGGTCGCGGGATCGAATCCCGCCGGTGGCGGCTGCATTTTAGACGGAGGCGAAAACTCTTGAGGCCCGTGTGCCTAATTTAAGGTGCACGTTAAAGAACCCCAGTTGGTCGGAATTTCCGGAGCCGTCCACTGCGGCGCGTCTCTCATAATCATATGGTGGTTTTGAGACGCTAAACACGAACAATTATTACTAATATGAGTCATCTGTTTCTGACGTAATAATGAATCTACTTGATGCTTTGGAATTCTCTTAGTATTATCAGTGTTACACCTATAGTAACATTACATAGAATAGGCAAGGAAAGGAGTTCAACTAAAAAAAAAGAAAAGCATCTGCCTTGCTGCTTGACAATGGAGAACACCGAAGGTAGAGGTAAATATGAAAATATGCAGAAAGAAACAAGCAAAAAGAAGCATATGCATGATGAAAGCCAGGCACTGTTACAACAGGCTTTCTATTAGCAAAGCACGATGTGTTGGCGAAACACATGGTGCAGTTGACAGCAGTTATTATAACAATACATCCGGTCGAGTGCGTTCCATTCAGTGCGTTTTCACGCTGGCCCACAGCGTTGTTGGAGCTCAACTTACCGAGCTGATGGAGTTGTGGCCAAAAAAGAGCGAACACGTGGAATAGCCCAGACTCGCTCGGCTGTTGCAGCAATTTCGGCCAGAGAGGAGGAGGCCGTGAGGACGACGCGGCCTGTCCCCACATCGCGATTTTCGCTCTCGGTTTTTTTTCGTTCGTTCCGAGACGTGTCATGAGTGGCGTGACCCTGGGGAGCCTTTTCTCTTCGTTTCCGCCTAAATCGCGGCCACTCAGAGGCGGTGCGTGCGCGCGGGAGTGGGCCGGGATAATTGGCGAATATGTCCGCCCCCTCTTTTCCGCCCTGGCAGGAGGCCTGCGCCAGGAGAGCAGCGAGATCTCGGCCGGGCCGCGACGCCTGGGCGCTCTGTGCTTGCCGGACTGGTCTACTGAATCATGCAGCGGCGCACGTAGGCGTTGCGCAAGGAGCCCGTGCGACTCGGCGGCTAGCGTGTGTGCGAGCGTGTCGCGAATAGGCCCTGTGTTTACGCACGTTGATGGTGGTGGCGCCGGAGGTTCCTTGCTTGCACGCAGAAGCTAAAGTGGTACACCTGCTGTAGCCGTGCTGCTTTACGCGAGTCTGGAGAAGTGTGGCTATCAAAGAAGGGGGGAGGCAGTGATGCGCTAAGTTTTCTCGAGTTCAGAGTTAATTCCGAGCGTCTTCCTTGCATGGTGTGGGTATACATAAGCGAAAACGACGGCAAAAAAGGCTGATATACATTCCAAGAACTCGGCCAGTATGACAACGGATGGCAGGGAAGAAGGCATAATTTGTCTCGAGTTGGTTTTTTACAAGGATAAATGGAAAGTGAAGTTGTTCGTGATGGCGTCAACAATGGCGAGATATGCTAATGTCAATGTTGATTGTTTTTTTTCTTTCGAATATTTCAGAAATTAATGTAAAAAAAACCAGGAGAAGATAGACGTGATATTTGGAACATTTCTTTTAATTAAAGAAAAACTTGTCACTACTGCGAAGACTCTACAGACATCGGAATTGCGCAGAATCAAACTTGTGGGTCACTCACGTTTCTTTATACCGCTCTTGGCGAAATTATTTATCGCATTATGCGCATGGGGATCCGTGGTGCAGTGTGAGGCAATGAAATTTAAGTCCCTCTAAAGTTGCACCATCCTGTTATAAGCAAATCGGGAGCTGGTGTTGCTGATCTGCTCTGACAGCGGCCGCCGCCCTGGTTATCTCATTTACGTTTTTTTTTGCTTTGAAAGTAACTCATCTTGTGGGGTGCTGATTATGCTTGAAGACTATCACTAGCCAAAGTTTTCCAAATGGCTGCGATTACTTTTAACATTTACCCAGGAAACATGAATATTACCTATCCTAATATTATTTATTCGTCTCATGATTTTTTTTAACTGAACCGAAATTCCAAACCCGGTTCAGTTTAATATCGATTCCGACGCGGACAGCGCAAAGGGGCACCTCGGAGATGATCAGCTACTGCTCGAAGGGTGTTGTGCCACCGACATGTTCCTCGTTCGGCAGCACGTCTCACGAGATCGAGCCCTGTTTCGACGAACGGTCTCCCCCCCCTCCCAGCGCCGCCTTCTGTGCAGGAGAACCGTGCAGTCCGGGGATAACGTCGTTTCCTCCGCCGGGCCACTTTGCAGTTCCGGGTATGGCTACATCTCCCCCTCCGAGCCCGAGAACTGGTCCGAGAGAATGGACCAAGGACGCTATTTAAGGCCGAGCCGGCCCCATGTTAGAAGATTTTCGCCCCAGCCGACGTTGTCGTGCTGGCCGGCTCTGTAAAACGACAACCTGCTTCAGTAAACGCTACTTTTGTTGCTGTTTTCCAAACAGATCGCCTCCCTGTTTCACCTTCGGGCTAAGGCTTCATCGAAGTCCGCTCGACGGCTCGCCGCTCTTCGCCACCGCTACCATCGTGACAGAGCAAAATTCCTAATAGTGGTGGCAGCGGTGGGATACGATATCCTACGTTTGGCACGCCGGATCAGACCTCTGTCCTCAACGTTTTGCTGCTCTGGGACCCGCTACCCCGATCTCGGCGGCTGAAAAGTTGGATCGGATCTCCGAGCACGAGGACGACCGCCGTGATAGCGTTTGGCTACGCTGCGATACGCTACCCTGTTCTCATCGTTCGGCAAGCTGGGACAAGCAACCCCGGATCTCAACATTGACAAGTTGGACCGGATCCCTGAAGGCCTGACACTGTTCGACGGCAGCCACGAGTTGGACCATCGTCGGCTACTTTGGTTGGGTGAGTGCCCAACATTTACTGTTCATTTCGCCAGACCTCTCTAGCACAGGCAGATGTTAGGAGAGTGTTTTGACTTGTTTTGTTGGTTATAATTTAATATTCACATACTTTAAATCACGAGATTAGTTTTAAAGTACGGTGAATATCAGTAGTAGAGCATCACGAGGGACGAGATCGCGATGGAGCAGTACCCGGTGCAGGACCTCCTTGAAATTTGTGGAGCCATGGGGATTTCCGCCGGGTCCGCTAAAACAAGGGAAGCGATTCTCGAGGTGATACGGGCAGAGAATGTGACGGCCGAGGAAGCTGACGAGTTTTGGGAGCTTATTTGTGAGCAAAAGCAGAAGGCCGAAGAAGCTCAAAGGCACGAACAATGGAAGGCCGAAGAAGCTCAAAGGCACGAACAATGGAAGGCCGAAGAGAATCGCAAAAGGAGAGAGCATACTCTCAGAATGAAGGAGCTTGATCGTCAAATTGAAGCGATTAAGTGGCAACGAGCACAATACCGACTTGAACTCTTCAGAATGGACGAGAACATCGTGTCTTTTCTCGTTAATTTTGAAGAGGTCTGCGACGATGTTGGTGTTGGGCGAGACTTATGGTGGGAAAAGCTTGCCACGTTGCTTCCGTGCAAAGTCGCAAGCGTTTTGGGGTGCTTATCCGCCGAGGAAGCGCATGACTTTGATAGGATTAAACACGTTTTGTTCCGCCACTTTGCTGCTATGAGTACTGCCGACTGTGAAAGTCGAGCATACAAGTACAGCGCTGAAGCGTGCAGCAAAGCGCTAGAAATTGAGACCCATCGCAAAGCGCAGGACGCCAACGTGCGTCAGAGAGAGCGAGATGAGGCGCGGCGTAAGGCGATGGAGGTGGAGGCGCGTGAAAACGAGGCTCGCCGAAGAGCGCTAGAACTAGAAGCGCGTCGAGAAGCGCGTAAAGATAAGGCATTTCGAAAAGCTATGGAGGCTGAGGCCCGTCGCGAAGCACAAGCCGCCGAAGTGCGCCAGAGAGAGCATGACGCTGAGGTGCACCGCGAGGAGTTAGGGGCCGAGGCCCATCGCACGGTTAAGGACGCCGAGGCACATCGCGAAGCGCTAGAGACGGAGCCGCTTCACAGCACACATGATCCAGATGCATCGCATCAAAAAGAGTTTGACAAGTCGAGTCGTAAGGCGCTACAGGTTGACGCCTGTCGACAGAATATTGAGCAGGATGCGCGAGATAAAGCGCTACAGAATAAAGCTCTTAAAAGAGAGCACGAGGCTGACTTCGAAGGGCAGAGAACAAGGGCTAACCACGACAGCGATAAACCCCCACCGATCGAAAGCTCTTTAGGCGAGTTAGTTGCTTTTAAAGGCATCGGGACTCCCGTTCTGTCCCAAGCAGAGGCAGCAAGCAACGGGCCCGAGGATAAGCTAGATAACCAGTGTGGAACTTCGGGAGTACTTGTCAAAGGCAGCACACTTGGAAGTAAGTGTGTCGAGGCTGCCAGTATTGCGAGAAGTCCCGACAGAAAGAGGCGTCGGCGTAAGCGTAACGTGGTAAAGACGACGGGCGCCAAGAGTACTAAAACTGCTGTTAGGTGCCATGACATCATTCGTCGAGACGCCATGTTCACGGCTAGGCGTAGGATCGCGACAGGGCCCTCTGGGAAATGTTTGAAGCTCAGACCATCACGAGGATCGACATTAGGCGGGAAGCGCGTCAAGAAAAACCGACTTTCAGGAAAATTCGGACGCCGAGATCTTCGCCTGGTCTCATCAATTTTGGTGCTGCGTAGAGGCAACCACAAGGGAAAGCATCGCGCACGCCTGAGTTGTAACAAAGGCGGTTGTTCCCCACCGTGGAGGAAGGGTTACTGGTCGAACGGGTGCCGTAAACGATGCAGTGCAGATGCCCCTTTCCTCGAGTTCAGCGGCTGCGGGTCAAAAGTCGCTGCTACTGAGTTCGGCGAACAGGTTGATGCGTCGTCCTTTTGTCCAGACCGCAACCCTCAGAAGCTGTGGAGTGCGCGACTCCCCAGAGTTCGCTTGAGAGAAAGCCGCCTCGCTAATACGAAAAGTGTATCTTTTGTATTTAATTTTGAGAACAACTTTTTCTAGTTTTGTCTTCTGCCGACGAGCAAGAAATGGATCTGAATTTTTGTAAGTTTTACTTTTGTCGCAGAAGCAGATATTATTGATAAGTTTGTTTGATTAATTTTGTTTTCATAATATTTCAAAGGTAACAGTTAATGTATAATATTTTAACAGAGAAGGCTGTGTAAAAACTCTTGTTTAAAGTACCTTCTGGGTTTTGCATTACGTTTAAGTATGCACGTAAATGTAGGTCAACTTTTCACTTTGTTTTGTATAACCCTCGCAAGTTTGATTTTCAGTCTTATTTTCTTAGTTTTTCAAGCGTGCTTACTCTTGTCGTGATGATCGTTGGCGGCGCGCATTGAATGATTGCTTGTAGGATGACAAAGTTTGTTATGTTTAACAGTCTTATGCTTGCAGGCGACGCAAATGTGCGTGATTCGAAAACTCTTGGTGTTCTAAATTGTAGATTCGGGGCCAAATTGAGTTAACCTCGGCAGCTTCGATCGTCCCTAATCTGCCCGGGTCACAATCGAGAATCGCTCTCGAAAACAAAAATTCTGATTGGTTTAGCAGTGTCATGCACTGTAAAGGAGTGTCCGCATTGTGTATTCTTCCCGAGATTCGTTGCTCGTGATGCTATTTGTTAGCCCAGCGTAATCTCGAGGAAACATTTGGTGTCTGCTGGTCTGGCGACTTGATCAGCATTTGGAGGGTGCTTGCTTTGGCCGGAGTGGTTCGCCTTTGTGTTCGACTCCGTCGTTCCAGTGAATCTCTGCAGGCCTATGGAAGTCTCAACGGGCGGAGAGAGCGGAACGGCCACCGATGGTCAACCAGCATCCCTCCTTCCGAGCCGCGCTGACGGCTCGAAACTCCGGATGCATTGTCTGGCGGCGGGGGTGCTGTTGTGCCACCGACATGTTCTTCGTTCGGCAGCACGTCTCACGAGATCGAGCCCTGTTTCGACGAACGGTCTCCCCCCCCTCCCAGCGCCGCCTTCTGTGCAGGAGAACCGTGCAGTCCGGGGATAACGTCGTTTCCTCCGCCGGGCCACTTTGCAGTTCCGGGTATGGCTACATCTCCCCCTCCGAGCCCGAGAACTGGTCCGAGAGAATGGACCAAGGACGCTATTTAAGGCCGAGCTGGCCCCATGTTAGAAGATTTTCGCCCCAGCCGACGTTGTCGTGCTGGCCGGCTCTGTAAAACGACAACCTGCTTCAGTAAACGCTACTTTTGTTGCTGTTTTCCAAACAGATCGCCTCCCTGTTTCACCTTCGGGCTAAGGCTTCATCGAAGTCCGCTCGACGGCTCGCCGCTCTTCGCCACCGCTACCATCGTGACAGAGCAAAATTCCTAATAAGGGGCAATACAAATTGCCACCCGCTGCAATCTGTTTTCAGCTTGAGTACAACGCCAGAAGCGCTCTGCAGTCCCCTGTTGTGCACACATTCTCACCTAAAAATACAAAATTAGGCAAAGGGTGTAACTGATGTCTTGCGTTGTGAACCCTCTAAATGCACAAACCTAAATTTTATGAACTATGCATTTAGCTAAACACAAACTTTCTCCTGGCAATACTTGCGCATGCTTTGTCCGACAAGGACATTTAAGTATATTTGCTGACCATCGACATTTGCACACCTCACATAACATCTTGAAAGAAAGTACAGATAGCCTCATTTTCAAGGCGCTCTATACGGAGATATGAAACGCCGCTAGCCTCGATACGTTATGGCAAGCATTTGGGTATTCGACACGTTTGATGTTTGCCTGCGTGTTGTCATATATACTTATAGACTTATACTTTAAAATATTGACTTCATTTTCATAAAAAAATGAAAAAGCAACGTTCGAATTTACAAGTTGCTTCTCGGTTCAGGCATATTTCGTCGTAATTTTATGCGCTTCGAATTCTTAGCATGTGTTTTGCGTAGGTGCTATGTAAGCAGTTGAAAATGTGCAGACTATTCTGTTCTACTGAGGAAAAAAGGAGCCCATTTACTCAATTCAGCTAACGCACGTGCGTGTGAACATGTTTGTGGAAACAGCTGTTTTTCTACTTAATACAATAAGAAATAAAAAAACAGGACATGCAAGTAAGAGGTGGTTCTTTCTGCTCTTCCTTTATAGCATTAAACAGGACGACGAATTTCGCATGGAATGCATCGATACCTCGCGCTTCAAGAATGTTTTAAGAAACTGAGTGAGGATCCCGATACTCACTATAGATAATAGAATATAATAAATTTAACGTATAGTGATGATTATTACGGGCAAACATAAATTCACAAGTACGGGGCGCACCTGCGTACAGCGCGACAAAGCCATGCGCCGCAGGAAGATGATGCAGGCTGCACGCCGCTCACGAAGACTCTGTGCAGATCGAGTCCCGTATAGCCGGGCGCAACCCGTCGGCGCTTAGACAACGTTACACACTTCTTCGCCACGCCAACCCGTAGTCAACGCACCGCTCCACGCACCGCTGCAGCGGTCGGTCGAACCCCGAGCCCGTAATCGAATTGGCCGGACCGTTTGTGTTTCGTCGTCGTCGCACGGATGGGGAGGAGGGTTAGTGCAGTGCGTTGGGCGGTCACGTGCCGCCACCGGCTTGGACCGCGTCGACCGCTGTCAGCTTTACGCTGATCCAATTTACTCCGACGGCTGCAGATCAAGTTCAGGGAGCGCGGTTCGGGCCGCGGGACAGGGACCGATACCCGCTGCTGACGCCGGCTGGCTCCCTTGGTGCGAAGCGCGTGGCCGCACACGCTGCATCTGTTTCTCTTTGTGAAGCTATACCATCACAGCACGTACGCTCCTTAATGATCTTGGGAGGTTCATATAGTTTTCTCACGTTCATTAGTCTCCGCAGGCAGTCCAAGTTGGTTTGAAAGTTTGTCAAGTGCCCACTTGATGGGCAAGTCAGATGCGCTGCCATGTCTGCTGGCAAGCGACGCCATTCTTTGTAAAGGCGTGCTTTGAAAGTGCCTGCAGTGCACTCTCTGTTTCATAACGCTCTTTAAAATGGTCGGCTACAAGTTTTCAAACCACAAAAGATTTCAAACTTCACATAAACAAACAACCACTCGTGAAGCCAAGAGAGTGCTCCAGCTGATGCCGCCTACTCCAACTAGCTGAATGGAATTTTGCTGCAGGTACTTCGCATTCGAAGTTTCGAGACTCGGCAGATGTCAAACATGCCAAACCGCGACTCGTATATGCAACACAGCCTTTTTAGCCAGCTACTCGGCAGCGCTATCACTTCCGAGTGGCCAGCTAAGAAGGGTGTGCTATACAGACGCTATTCGGAGCCGCGCCACGTTGGTCTAGTGAAAGCGGCTGCTGACCGGCAGGTCGCGGGATCGAATCCCGGCTGAGGCGGCAGCGTTTTCGATTGAGGCAAAAATGCTGAAGGCCCGTGTGCTCAGATTTGGGTGCACGTTAAAGAACCCCAGGTCGTCTAAATTTCCGGGGGCCTCCACTGCGGCGTCTCTCATAATCATATGGTGGTTTTGGGACGTTACACTCCACATATCAATCAATCAGACGCTATTCGGAAGTTGCTTGATGGCTACTTTCGATGACTATCGCTTCCGAGTAGAAGCAGGTATATGCGGGGTTGTTTGCGCTATTCATACTTTAAGAACCTAAACTTCGCGCTAGAAGAACAAAAAACAAAAAGAGTAATATAATATTGGGCAATATCACCAATAAAACGCACGTTACAGTGCATTGAAGTACGCTTTGGATTGAGGAAGACAAATATTAAAAAATCTACCATATTTGATATCATGCGCCATTTAAGGTGGAAGGCGCAAGTAGGACAGAATGTCGGGATTTCAGAGTAAGTAATAGCTTTTTGAAAAGCAGTGTTCGAATACGAGCAGCAAGCATTCAGGGAGCCAAATCAATGATCTTTATGTGGGCTGAACATAAAACCACGTACATTATTTTTGTACCAAGCAATAACTAATCAACTGCGGAAAACTATTACGGCATATCGATGGAGTGAATAATAGTGAATGGGCGAAGCAGTAGGACCATTCGGTATTACCGTAAATCAAACGTGGCATTGACCACTCAGCATGTAAAAGTTGGACAAAGCGGTGTACGGTTATATACACTGTTCATTGGTCAAAGTGGTATGTTGCGTTGAAATGTGAGTTTTTTTCCCCCTTCACTAATACTGCGTTGTGGTATCGGATCTATAGCCTGAAGTTGGCAAATACAAGGTAGGGGACGTTTCCGTGGTGCTTTTCGGTTGTTTCCAGTCAAACAAAAGGCGTAGTAGAGCATATCGAGACCTGGTATACCACAGAAGCCAGTCATTGTCCGTGATCATCATCGTCATAGTGATCGTCAAGGCGTATAGAGGGTAACTTGCATGTTATCGGC